CTGGAGAATACTCTCCAGTGACTAATCCCTGCTATGGAAACCATCATGAGGATTCTGCTAGGGTGAATATGTTTATCACTGGCAGTAAACTGGATCACAGTTGCAGAGGAAACAAGGCACAGGAAGAATGGAAATACCTGGCCAGACGGCAGACTGCTTATTCAAAGGCCCCAGAAGATGAGAAAAGACTAAGAAAAGGCCAGGTTAAAAATGTCTGAGGAAGAGATTACCTTGGTCCTACCCAAAAAATCCAGACTATAAAGAACCAAGTGGGCAAGAAAGAGTTTCTGCAGCAGTTTTTTATTTTAAAGAACTACCAATTAATGCTACACACACACACACACACACACACACACTCTCTCTCTCTCTCTCTCTCTCTCTCTCTCTCTCTCTCTCATCTCCCCCTCTCTCTCTATAGTTTACTTGACCACCAAGTTATAAGTTATACAGCTATATTTTAATGTAGATTTTGGTGCTATGAAATCATAGCATAAGTTTATGTAAGCTTGAGACAGAGTCTTACTCTGTTGCCCAGGCTGGAGTGCAGTGATAAGATCTTGCCTCACTGCAACCTCTACCTCCTGGGTTCAAGTGATTCTCTTGCTTCAGCCTTCCGAGTAGCTGAAGGCTGAAGCACCACATCCACATAATTTTTTGTATTTTTAGTAGAGACAGGGTTCCACCATGTTGGTCAGGTTGGTCTCGAACTCCTGATCTTGTGATCTGCCATCTTATATCCTTCTTCTTACAAATGCTCAGTGAAGAAGATACTTTTCCTTTAGATGTTTCCTGAATCTAACTAGTAGCACACACACAATGTTCACACTCATTTCCCTGGATTATTCTTCATACACGGAAAGGCTAGTGTAACAGATATTCTCTGCATTTACGTTTAGGTGGCATTTCCCTCCCCCCACTGCCCCATATTCTCATCTGATCAACTTTAATGTCTTTTGCCTTAATTTCCACTTCATATATATGATTTAATATTAGGATGTAAGTTGTAATAAGTTATCCTTCACTTAAAATTTGAATTTGACATTTTCAGATTACCTTGTGACAGTTCAAATTGTGCAAAAGATATATGAACAAAAGCAAATTTCTTGCAGTTTGCTCTGGCCATTTGAAAGTAGTCACGTGCATCATCTGGTTCCTGAATACTGTAATAAAAGATTGTGTCAAAATTTAAGAAAAATAATGTAGCTACTTAAATTTGATAATGCTTCAGTTTTCCAAAAGACATGGGGTATTGCTTTTTTCTGTGGATAAAATTAAATACTAGTAAGTTATTTTTTCAAAAACTTTTTAGGCAGTTTAAAGTATAAGTAAACTTTTGTGGAAACATGTACATAGTAAAGAGTTTACATCCATCTCTTGTTAATTATAAGTAAAACGATTTGGTTAAAAAATATTAATTTTCTCACAATTAATACTGACATGCTTTTATTTTCTCTCTTTGTGATGCAGCTACATATTATGTAACATAGTTAAAATGCTAATACTTACGCTTTTAATTCAGCAAATCTGACTTGAATTCTAGCAAAACTCTCATTTTGGCCGTATTTATCTGGAGGAAGCGCTTCAATTGCTTGACTGTAACGACCAATCAATTTATTTAAAAGAACATCACTTAGAGGAACACTGTTTTTCTCTAGTTTGAGCAACAAATTCAGCCAGTCCTCTGGGTTGTTTGCCATCATCATAATTTGGTTAACAGTTCCCGAGTTATCTAAACAAGAGGAACAAAATATATCACAACAGAAGACATAAAACAAATGCAAAATTTCATTTTTCCTTCACAATACAGCCAAGCATTTGTACTCTATCAATGTACATAAAGTCCTTGTAATAGTTTTTAAAATTGTAAAAATTCCCATAAGTAACTTATTTACTATATATTTATCTTTTATGAAGGCATATTTTATCCAAAAGCTACATATTTTGATGGGAAGAAAAAAAAATTGAAAGTGTTTTTTAAGTAGCCTTTAAAAATTGTATATAGTTTAAGAAAATCTTACACTGTTGCAGGATAATTATAATTTTAGCATCCTATCTATCCAAAGAAAACTAGGTTTCTCCCACTGCCACTTGTACTAACTTTCCTAGAAAATTTTCCCATCAATGACTTATTCATTAAACTTACTGCTCCAGTCCTAACATAACCTTCTTTACAACTTTACCCATCAAACATTATCTCTGTATACCTCATACTTACTTGTAAAACAACCAAACCAGCTTTACAAAAAATAAACAACTGTTATGATCATTTTCTTCTCTGCAAGTAACCTATATTTCTCCTAGAGGGCCTGATAATTTCTTGGTCCAACAAACTCATAGCTACCACGGTCTAGAGCGTTGGAATTTATTGGACCTCTTGTGACTGTCAGGTTTCTCTCTGTGGAACCCCCACCTACAGAAACAGCAAGGATAACCTTCAGACATAATTTTCACACTAATGTGCTTTTTACCCTCTTCAGTATTCACTTCTTAAAAAGACAACTTGAATGTCAGTTTTCTTTTCAGGGTATTTCGATTATTACTAAGCATTATTAAATTCACATTTCCAGAGAAGCTATCATTCCTTCTGTCAACTTCAGTCACTATCAGCAAAGCCTACAACTTTACTTTTATAAATAAAATTTGTTTCTGCTTTCTACTAAAATATAGTGCTTGCACAACTTTGCTTTATCGTCTTAAGTTTAATTTGGTCTCATCTTAACTTAATTTTCTAGTTTTATCTCCTATTGTTTTCCTAAGAAATTAGTCTGTGAAATGTCTAAAGAAATACACATTGCCATCTGTAGCTTTGCAGATGCATTCCTCATGCCTGAATACCCTATTCTTCCTCTAATCAACAAATATAACGTTTGTGTTTTATCATGCTAGTATTCCTATGATGCGGGCATCATGATGTATGCATTACAATGTAGCATAGTGAAAATATAAATTCTCATCTAGAAAGAAACTATGGTTTTAAGCATTTCTGAATCTTCCTCAATACCTAAAATACTCAATTGTCTTGATCTTTGTTAGTGTGACATAATTAAGTACAATTATACTCTATTATAAACACTCTGCTTAACACTGAAACTATCATTGTCTAGGTTTTTTCAAAGTGAACATAGTCTGCCACCATAACTAGATCACAGGTTCTTCCATTTATTTTCAATTCCTCATCTATTTAATGGTTAGCATATATGTAACAAAATTATCCAAAGGTCACCATTTAAATGACAGCAACCATTTGAACTACAGTAAAGAATCTGGCTTCAGAGCTAATACTTTTAGCAGAGCTAGAGTTTTATACTCCGGACACTTTCACCCATTAATCATTGTTCAATAAATGTTTACGTACCTACCATGTGCCACAGACAATTCAAAGTTCTGTGGATTTAACAGATAAAAACCCTGCCCTCATGTAGCCTACATTCTAGTGGAGGAGAAAGCCAATAAACACATGAGTAAATTGTAAATGAAGTGATTAGTACTATTTCTTAACCTTACAGGATACTCAGCAAACGGTTACTAACTTAAAGGAAAAGAAAAACTCACCTGTAGTATCAGCAGAAATTTTATTCAAGCTTAGCTCATCAGTAAGGTCTTCATTTTTAAACTTATTTTTAATGTCTCTCACTTTGTTCATTATGGAATCAATTGTCAATTCTCTGCCACTTAAATCCTCAGACTCCATTTCTAAGAAAAAAACTGAACTAGTCATAATTCCTATTTTAACTAGCACCAAAGCAAAAAAAAAAAAAAAAAAAAAAATGAACATTTAAGAACCCAGAAGACTAAAGCATTAGTTTTGTGAACACACCTAAACGCAGCTATTAGACTAGTATTAATGGAGCTAAATGCACAACAAGGTACATACACATCCTTGTAATTTGTTCAGCAAGGTTGCATAGGCCAAGTACACTTTTTTCTCCAATATAACATCAATGATACCACACTAGAAATCTGTAAACTTGTCATTTAAAAAAATATGATGGAGTGTATGCTTGGATTCTGGTAGTGACATACACATAAAGATTGCTTGAATTCTGGCAGTGACACAGACAAGGAATTCATTTGGCAATGGAAATAAGAATTCCTTTATTCATCTGCTTCACTTGAGTAAATCTTCACAGTGAGAGTGCTTTCAAAGCAGACTATGAACATTATGGGACTTTACTGATAATTAGGATATCCGCAGGTTTATTCTTGTGCGTATCTGGCAGAATCATGATTTGCTACCTTAATACAATACCAAGAAACTACGGTACTCCTACTGAGCACTTGCTTATCTGTATGGTGGTGTTGTTTCTGCAATAAGGTGTATGCAGTCTTCCTGTGAATCTATCTTTGTGACTCTCAAAGATAGATTGACTGCCCCGTCTTCAGGTTTAACAATTTTTAAAAGCCGTAATGTTTCAGCAAGCGATACCACTCCACCTCTGAAGTCAAGTTTGAAAGGTAACTGTCAGATCACGGCCACCCTCTCCTTTCCCAGTTTTAACCAGCAAACAAAAGAGACTTTTGAAAACGATCTTGTGCGCAAGTACCCCACCACCCCTCCCTTCCAGCGTGGACCACACCCACTTCTTCCTCAAGAAAACCTCCTGCACCGCCCCACCCGCCAGACCCGCGGAGACAGCGAGACCTCCCCCTCTCCTCTAGCTCGTTTAGCCGCGTCGCGTACCTGGTTCCGAGCTGTTCCCGCCTCGCCCCACCCCTCACCAACCAGTGCTGATAATGATCCCATACACCGGCTGCGGCAGCTCCTCCGTGCGCCGGTGACACAGAACTTACCTACAGTAAGCGGAGCTGGGGATACGAAGAGATAGAACCCAAACTCCTTTTCCGCAAACGTTTGAATTTCCCAGTCGCTATCACTACGGCCTCCTATTGGTCAATGCGAGTCACGTGGAAGCGTCTGTAGTGATTGGTTGGTGCCCGCCGGGCCGCCCCTCCTCCTGCGTCTGGCAAGGCTCGCCCCGGAAGAGCCCGCGGCCCTGACCCCATCCGTGCGGCGCTTGGGAGGGTGCTGATACCCTGCAGGCGTTCCCCGGAAGCCAGTCGGCGGGCTTTCCTGCACTTTCCGGTTTAACCAGGCTAAATTTTTGCCTGGGAGATAGTCACTCCCGGGAAAACGTCGCCGGTGAGAGGAATACAGGGGCGCGGGAGGCTGCTTCCAGCATCAGAACCTAAAAGATGCACCTTGGGTCTGCCCCTTACTGATCCCACCGCCAATGTTCTCCTTCGTTCCCCGCGATCCTCACAGCCTGGCTTAGGGAGGATGTGGCAAGAAAGGATCTTTCACAGAGCTAGGTTCGGCCCTGCCGCCAGCTCAAAAATTTCGGTGCTTTCTATCCTAGCTTCCGCTTGTGTCCTTCCACTATCCTTAAATGACTCCTTGCTCTGTCTTCAAGCCAAGACCCTCCCTTTTGTCAAAATCCTGAGCAGAACTCACACGCCCATCATGATTGCCCTGCCTGAACTCGCCTTATCAGCCCCCCTCCCTCCGAGCCTGCCCCACTTAAGGGCTCAGGTGTCCTCAGGGGTAAAAACATCTCCCTAGTAATCTTCGCGGTGCGAGGCTCTGCCGCTAAGTGGCTTTGTGGTCCAGGGCAACGGTTACTCCTTGTCTGCAAAACGAAAGGGGATGTGTCTGTTGTGCCAGCCTAATAACATATGTTCTGCGGTAGAACGGGTTGGTTTTGTGTATGTATAGGAATCTAACTGCAGCTGTCACTTGTTAACTCTAAAGCTGTCCTTGGAACCCTCACATTCCCAGCTCTGTATGGCCACCCAGCCAGCATGAGAACCCTTCTCAATCACCTAATGCGTCTTTCTTTGTCAGCTAGCTAGTATTTTTGCTTCAGCAGGGCAAAATGACTTGCTCTACCATGGTTGGCTAATCACTTACCTTCGAAGCATCGCATTTAATGCTGCTTTTTGCCTGGAGAGAGTTTATTATTCCTTTAATTCTCTTTGATCTGTTTGCAGCGTGATCTCAAAGCTTGCATTTGCCTGAAAATACTGTTGCTGGATGACCTCACCCTACCACTTCTTTCTGTACACTCATTTGTGATCTTCATTCTTCTATCTTTAGATACCATCTATATGTTGATGACTCCCAAATGTGTATCACCAGCTGAGCTCTCCTCAACTCCATACTCAAATATCCACTGCCCACTTACTAACATCTTCACTTACATGTCTCATATGCATCTTGAACTCAAAATGTCCAAAACCAAGCCCCTGATCTTCCTCCCCAAACATGTTTTTTACAAAACCTGTAAAAGACAAACTAGTCCCGTTTTTTAGCCCCAAAACCTTTGTGTCATCCCTGACTCCTTATCAAATTCATAAGCAGAATCAGGGCTAGCACAAGAAATTCCTGGACTCCTACCAGTTCTCCCCACCTCTACTGCTACCACATTAGTCCAAGGCATCTTCATGACTTACCTGATGCTACCTGCAGTAGTTTACCGGCTGGTCTCCCTGCTTCCGCCCTTGCTTTACCTAAATTTATTCTCTGACATAGCAAAGTAATCTTAAATCAGATTATGTTGCTACTTTGCTCAAAACCCATCAGTGCTCCCTTTCTAGCTTGGAATAAAACCACAAGTCCTTTGATGGTATGTGGCTATTGAGCACTTGAATGTGTCTAGTGTAACTGGGAACTGAATTTTTAAATCAATTAACCTTAATCAGATTAAATTTAGATTTCAATTTGAAAACTGATACCTAATGGGATTATTTTTAAACTTTTAAAAAATTTTTTTGCTTTCTATTTTCTAAACAGGCATTAGTCATGAATTTATTGGAAGATGTTTATACTTGGAAGAACCTAAGTATATGAATTTACTTTTTTGACTGAAAATTTTGTGAGATCCAGATGCCGATGAAGTACTTCCAGTGAAAGTGTCTGAGTATGAAATGTGAGGTACTGTTAAGTATAAAATACACTGTGGCTTTGAAGGCTGAATAAGAAAAAGTAATAAACATTGATAATTTAAAAAACATTAAAATGATATTTTTGCTATATTGAGTTAAATAGAATACATTATTAAAATTAATACCACCCCATCACAGACCAGATGAGATGAAGGAGACATGACAGTTAAATAACTGTGACATCATAAACTGGATCCTGAAACAAGAGGTTGCCATTAATGGAAAAATTAGTAAAATTCAAATAAAGTCTGAGGCTTAGTTAATGATAAGGCACCAATTTGGTTTCTTAGTTTTAAAAATGTATCATAGTAATGCAAGATCTTAACAACAGAAAAACTGAAGGAACGGTATACAGCAATCTGTACCATTTAATATCCTTGGAATTTTTTGTAAATTAAAAATTATCCAAAAATTAAAAGTATGAAAATTTAATTTCACATGTTTCGTTTTACACTTTAATATGGCTAATGGGAAATTGAAAATTACATACATGGCTTACATTGTATTTCATTGGACAGCAGTGATCTGTAAAATCCTATAGTTTTAACCTATTTGATGTATTTATTTATCTTATTTTCTGACTCTCCAATCCTTACCCCCACTAGAATACAAACTCCATAATGCAGAAATGTTTGTCTACTTTGTTCATTACTGCATAGAACAGTGCACTGTTCTAAGGCACTTGATAATGTGCCTGCTAAGGCACTTGTAGTGCGCGGTTGTAGGCACTTGATAAATGTTAGCTAAATACCAACATTTACAACCATTACAGTATTTAAGAATCCTATTGTATTTAACATGTTTGTATACTTCTTGCAATACAACGGCTCATTTGGCTTAAAATCAACTGCACCTGACAGTGAGTAAACTTGTTCATATTCAGAGTGAAGCCTTTCACAAAGCAATAAAATTAGCATAAGATTATGACTTATTTTAAGTTTATAAGTTTCCCATTTTTATCATATAAATGAATGTTTGGACCATTTAACTTTGTCATTATCATCATGTCACATTTTTGCTAGTCTTTGACTTTTCTGTCGCACAGCTGTCTTCCTTATTTATTTGTTTATGTATTTATATATTTATTTTAATCCCCTGCAAGGAATTTCTTATTCAATTATTGAGGCCATAGTTATACAAGCTCACTAAGGCCCAAACTTTGATTTTAGATATTATACATGGATTTACTTTGTATATATGCAAAAGTTAAATTTCTGATGAATAATATAAACCCGGTTCTTACAGCATGCAATCAGTTGCTTTATGGTGATTTATTCTGGATTAAACATTACTAGTATATGCTGATTTTAGTGCATTTAGGAGTGATGTGAGCCCATAAGAACATTGAGACTTGTATGAATACTATTAGGAAAGCTAACTATGACAATGAACCAGGACATGCCCAAAAGAAAAGAAAATAATGCCACAGAGAGCTAACAACGTAACTCATAGACAAAAAAAAAACAGCAATGGCAGCTTAGATTATGTTCTACAAATGAAGGCAGCAGTGACAAGTTAGGAACATTACTTGGACATCAAGTATTACTTAATTATCCAGGCAACAAATTATGATAATGAATAACAGAACAAAAGTAGGATTCTCAGTTCCTTTTTTCTTTTTTCTCCAATATGAAGAATAGTAGTAAGACTTACAATCTTAAAAATAAATATAGGACAGGTTATATAAGAAAAACATTTAAATTCCATCCAAATTATCTGACACAAATGAATTTTTTTTTTTCCTTTTTTGAGATAGAATCTGGCCCTGTCACCCAAGCTGGAGTACAGTGGTGTGATCTTTTTTATTTATTTATTTATTTTTATTGCATTTCAGGTTTTGAGGTACATGTGCAGAACATGCAAGATAGTTGCATAGGTACACACGTGGCAGTGTGATTTGCTGCCTTCCTCCCCTTCACCCATATCTGGCATTTCTCCCCATGCTATCTCTCCCCAACTCCCCCTCTGTGCTGTCCCTCCCCTATTCCCCCCAACAGACCCCAGTGCTCCCCTCCCTGTGTCCATGTGTTCTCATGGTTCAACACCCACCTATGAGTGAGAACATGCGGTATTTCATTTTCTGTTCTTGTGTCAGTTTGCTGAGAATGATGTTCTCCAGGTTCACCCATGTCCCTACAAAGGACACGAACTCATCGTTTTTGATTGCTGCATAATATTCCATGGTGTATATGTGCCACATTTTCCCAGTCCAGTCTATCATCGATGGGCATTTGGGTTGGTTCCAGGTCTTTGCTATTGTAAACAGTGCTGCAATGAACATTCGTGTTCATGTGTCCTTATAGTAGAACGATTTATAGTCCGTTGGATATATACCCAGTAATGGGATTGCTGGGTCAAATGGAATTTCTATTTCTAGGTCCTTGAGGAATGGCCACACTGTCTTCCACAATGGTTGAACTAATTTACACTCCCACCAGCAGTGTAAAACTGTTCCTATTTCTCCAGCATCTGCTGTCTCCAGATTTTTTAATGATTGCATTCTAACTGGCATGAGATGGTATCTCAATGCAGTTTTGGTTTGCATTTCTCTAATGACCAGTGATCATGAGAATTTTTTCTTATGTTTGTTGGCCTCATGTATGTCTTCTTTTGTAAAGTATCTGTTCATATGCTTTACCCATTTTTGAATGGGCTTGTTTTTTTTTTTTTCTTGTTAATCTGTTTCAGTTCTTTGTAAATTCTGGATATCAGCCCTTTGTCAGATGTGTAAACTGCAAAAATTTTTTCCCATTCTGTTGGTTGTCGATTCACTCTAATGACTGTTTCTTTTGCTGTGCAGAAGCTGTGGTGTTTGATTAGATCCATTTGTCTATTTTGGCTTTTGTTGCCAATGCTTTTGGTGTTTTGTTCATGAAGTCCTTGCCTACTCCTATGTCCTGAATGGTTTTGCCTAGATTTTCTTCTTGGGTTTTTATGGTGCCGGGTCTTATGTTTAAGTCTTTAATCCATCTGGAGTTAATTTTAGTGTAAGGTGTCAGGAAGGAGTCCAGTTTCTGCTTTCTGCACATGGCTAGCCAGTTTTCCCAACGCCATTTATTAAACATGGAATCCTTTCCCCATTGCTTGTTTTTGTCAGGTTTGTCAAAGATTGGAGGGTTCTAGATATGTTGTGTTGCCTCTGATGCCTCTGTTCTGTTCCATTGGTCTATATCTCTTTTTTGGTACCAGTACCATGCTGTTTTGATTACTGTAGCCTTGTAGTATAGTTTGAAGTCCGGTAGTGTGATGCCTCCCGCTGTGTTCTTTTTGTTTAGAATTGACTTGGCTATGCAGGTTCTCCTTTGGTTCCATATGAAGTTTAAGGTGGTTTTTTCCAGTTCTGTGAAGAAGGTCATTGGTAGCTTGACGGGGATAGCACTGAATCTGTAAATTACTTTGGGCAGTATGGCCATTTTCACAATATCGATTCTTCCTTACCATGAACATGGAATGTTTCTCCATCTGTTTGTGTCCTCTCTTATTTTGTTGAGCAGTGGTTTGTAGTTCTCCTTGAAGAGGTCCTTTATGTTCCTTGTTAGTTGTATTCCTAGGTATTTTATTCTCTTTGTAGCAATTCTGAATGGCAGTTCGTTCTTAATTTGGCTCTCTTTAAGTCTGTTATTGGTGTATAGGAATGCTTGCGATTTTTGCACATTGATTTTATATCCTGAGACTTTGCTGAAGTTACTTATCAGTTTCCGGAGTTTTGGGGCTAAGTATATGGGGTCTTCTAGATATACTATCATGTCGTCTGCAAATAGAGACAATCTGGCTTCCTCCTTTCCTATTTGAATACCCTTTATTTCTTTTTCTTGCCTGATTGCTCTGGCTAGAACTTCCAGTACTATATTGAATAGGAGTGGTGAGAGAGGGCATCCTTGTTTAGTGCCAGATTTCAAAGGGAATGCTTCCAGTTTTTGCCCATTCAGTATGATATTAGCTGTTGGTTTGTTGTAAATAGCTTTTATTATTTTGAGATACGTTCTGTCAATACCGAGTTTATTGAGGGTTTTTAGCATAAAGGGCTTTTGAATTTTGTCAAAGGCCTTCTCTCCCTCAATTGAGATAATCATGTGGTTTTTGTTTTTGGTTCTGTTCATGCGGTGAATTACATTTATAGACTTGCGTAGGTTGAACCAGCCTTGCATCCCCGGGATGAATCCTACTTGATCATGATGGATAAGCTTTTTGAGGTGCTGCTGCAATCGGCTTGCCAGTATTTTTATTGAAGATTTTTGCATCTATGTTCATCACAGATATTGGCCTGAAGTTTTCTTTCCTTGTTGAGTCTCTGCCAGGTTTTGGTATCAGGATGATATTGGTCTCATAAAATGATTTGGGAAGGATTCCCTCTCTTTGGATTATTTGTAATAGTATCAGAAGGAATAGTAAAAGTTCTTTGTGTGTCTGGTAGAATTCGGCTGTGAACCCATCTGGACCTGGGCTTATTTTTGTGTGGTAGGCTCTTAATTGCTGCCTGAACTTCAGATCTTGTTATCGGTCTATTCATAGTTTCGACTTCTTCCTGGTTTAGGCTTGGGAGGACACAAGTGTCCAAGAATTTATCCATTTCTTCCAGGTTTACTAGTTTATGTGCATAGAGTTGTTTGTAATATTCCCTGATGATGGTTTGAATTTCTGTGGAATCTGTGGTGATTTCCCCTTTATCATTTTTTATTGCATCGATTTGGTTATTCTCTTTTCTTTTTAATCAATCTGGCTAGTGGTCTGTCTATTTTGTTGATCTTTTCAAAAAACCACTCTTGGATTCATGGATTTTTTGAAGGGTTTTTCATGTCTCTATCTCCTTCAGTTCTGCTCTGATCTTTGTTATTTCTTGGCTTCTGCTAGGTTTTGAATTTTTTTGATCTTGCTCCTCCAACTCTTTCAATTTTGACTGTAGGGTATCAATTTTGGATCTCTCCACTCTTCTTATGTGGGCACTTATTGCTATATATTTTCCTCTAGAGATTGCTTTAAATGTGTCCC